TCTCAGACAACTACAAAGATGGTGACCATAATGAAGGACACTGTTCGTAATCTAGAGCAGATCCAGATTTTAAAAAATAGAGAAGTTTAGGAAAATGATGGAGAATATGAATGCCCAAATAGGAAAGAAATGGAGTTCATAAAAAAAGAAAGAAAGAAATGGAGTCCAGGAAGCAGATTCAAACAGGATACAATATCCAGGAGATTAAAAATTTAATTGAAACTATACATAGCAGAATGAACCAATGTGAGGGCAGAATATCAAATATAGAAGACAGGATGGTGGTTATGAAATGGCACTCAGAGGGCAGGCAGATCAAGGAAGAGAGTAGCACTCAGAATTGAAGGGAAAAGCTGGTTTATTTTCACTAGTGGGCCCAGCAGAAGTCACTTTCCACAGTCTGAGCCCCATTTCTCCATTTGTTCTCATATTTATCTATTCTTTAGTCAGGGTGGGAGAACAAGAAGAATTTTACAGAAGCAGAATTTAGCAAAGGACAGGGAGGTAGAGGTAAATGTTGTTTTTACAGTTTGTCTTTAAGACATAGGGAGTTAGGCAGCTGTGTTTCAGCAGTTCATCTCCCACGCACAGTGACCTTTGTGGGTTTAGCAGAAGGAGCAAGCTTCAGCCTTGAGACCATCAGTCTCTGCCAAGCTTTGAGACTGTCAGTCTCTACTCTTGTCTCTTGTTTCTTCCATTTTAGTTAGTGATCAAGGAAAGATATCTTAAAAACAGCAAAGGATCACAAAAATCAATCCAATAGCTGCTAGATGATGCAAAGAAGAATAACATAAGACTGACAGGAGTCTCTGAAAGAGTAGGTGATAATTCACATTAAAAAAAAAAACCTGTTTAGCAAAGTAAAAGCAAAAAGCTTCCCAAGCATGGAAAAAGAATTTGATGTACAGATAAGTCAGCAGATATTCTTGATAAGAGCCTGGTTTTTGAGCCCTTGATGGTACTGGGGAGCCCTACTGAAGTCCCGCCCCCTCAATTAGGTTTGTGATGTAGAATGAAGACAAAGTAGTAAAGGAAACGAGGCCTGGGAGGCCAGAGCTTCTGGTGAGCAAAGGCCCTGAACCTCTGGATTTGCCAGTATTTATTGAGCACAAAGCAGAAGGGAAGCATATGCTCTGGTACGTGGGGTGATGATCAGAAGTACTGATGTGAGTGAGGCCTAGAAAGAATGGAACAAATCATTTATGCAAGAAGTGAATCTTAGGTTAATAGGAACTTGTTCTTTCTCTTAGATTAGTATTACCTTTTCATAGAGGATGAGCAAGAATCATGGGGTCTTCAGCCACAGATAGGCACTATCAGCTAATACAGTGTCACTGAGCTGGGTTAGTCTTGACTGTGGCCAGTGGTACATAGAATTCTCTTTCTGCATACCAGCTGTAGCCATTAAGCTGTTCACTTAAGCCTTAGACCAGCTCTGAATTAAAGTATAAGCCAATTTTTATAAGCCAGTTGAATATAATAAAAGCCCGCTCAACACCAGCTTAAGGTGACCTCCTTCAGAGGGCTTCTCTGCTCTTTGTGCATGCTTTCCCTGGAGTGACCCCTTTGGCCTGGCCCCAGAAAGGGAAGTTCAGCATTGATCCCCCCACCAACCATGACCATATGGACTAGATCTGGGACCAAGATCTCTCCAAAATGGGCCTCTTCCCCTGGGAGGAGTTTGGAAACTCAGCAGTGGTGCAATCACTGGTCCCCTGGATCCTAGAGGACCTAAATGACTTAGGGTCACCAGGCTTTTCATTGGGGAAGGGACCAAATGCTGGGTGGTCCAATGGGACTCTCATCTTTTTCCTCTCCAATTTCTTCCTTATTGGGAAGAGGGAGCTGCTATGGCAGCAGTGGTGACTGCTGCTGATTCTGCTTCTTTTATTTTGGTATTGTATTTTTAGTGTTTTGAGACCAGGTCTCATTATGTAGTCCAGGCTTGTCTTGAACTATGTAGCCAAGGCTGGCCTCAAACTTGTAGCAAACCTCCAGCCAAAACCTGCAAGATGACAGAACACACACCACCATGCCCAGCTAATTATCTCATATATTTAATAAATGTTTTCCTCAATAAAATTAAAGCTTAGGAGGGCAGAGGTATATTTGTTGAGTAGTATAGAGCTGGTACATAGTGATATTAAATAATTAAGAGCTGAATGAAGGAAATGTTATGGCCTGTATCTCGAGGTTCCTCCCTAAAGCCTTGTGCACCCCTAGGTGGGGCTTTTTGGAAGTGGCTGGATTTAGGGTGTGTGAATATGGATTGAAGGTTGTGGTTACTAAATGAGCCTTCCAATTGGTTTAGCATAGTTTTGACTATAGATTATGTGAAGCCCACCCTAGGTATTGGTAGTACCATCCAATAGGCTTGTAGTCTTGAGTGGAAGAAAAGAGAAAGGAAGGCTCATTGTTGCTGCTGGCTGCCTCCTACCAGACCTTCCATGGACTGTTTCTTCTCTGTGGCCCTAATCTGCCATGCTGCTCTGCATTGGAGCCAGCTGACTATGGCCTGAAACCTCTACAAACTGTAAACTGAAATAAACATTTCCTCTTTTAATTCATGAGTGTCAGGTATTTTGTCCCAGGAAGGAAGAAATAACTAAGACAGGAAAGATGCTGGAGAGTCAGTAGAAAAGTGGCAAAGGAATTGTAGTGTATCAATCTAGGAAGCAATGAGCAGAGCCAATATGAAAATAATGTGCAAAATTCCTTATGCCCAAGAGCTGAATACAATGAAGTTATGTAATGAAATATGTTGAGTTGTATATATTCATGAATGAAAGATCTCTGCTACATTAGGATACCAGGAATATTTGAGAATATTATTAACTTTTGTTAATAGTCATTCTGGCTGTATGTGGCTGGGTTATTCTCAACAAATTACTCAACTTGTTTCCTGCATAAACTGGGAACCATGGTAGTATCTATCAAAGCACTGTCAGGTTTTTATGCACACTGGTCCAGTGTCTATTAACAACTCTCAGTAAGATTTAGTGAATCATATGATTAATATGAATGGCTTTCTGTTAAAGGGTTTAAAGTCTCTGGAGTGGAAGAACTCACATAAATGTTCATTTTTGATACTCTAGTACCAAAGCATTGGCAGTTTCTGAATTCATCCTGTGGTTATTCCCCTCCTTGTGCGTGTGCGTGTGTGTGTGTGTGTGTGTGTGTGTGTGCGCGTGTGCGGGCACTGTGGTTTGAGCCCAGGACCTGGTGTATGCTAAGCATGTACTCTACTACTGGACCCAACTTACCTCTTTATCTGACACTTCTTCTCTATGGGAAAGCCATTCTTCTACTCATTCATAAACCTTGAGATTAAAACCCAAGGTCTTCATGAAGGTATTCTTGATATCGATACACCATCATTGCACATTGTTCTTTACCTTGTCTTACATGGTATCTCTGGACCTTGGATATACTTTTTTTTAAATGTCTAGGCGAGAATTTCAATGAACTGAACACTATTATGGTATACATTCCACTATACATTGTAATTTTATTGCAAGAGAAAGTTTCTCATGTGGGCAACAGTGTACATCCTGCCAACTTCCAAGTGGCTGACACACAACATCTACTCTGCTATACTTTAGATCTAAAATGTCCACCCAAAGTCACATGTATTCAGAGGTAGGGCTCTTAGAAGGTGATTGGATCACGGGGCCACTATTTAATCAGTGGATTCATCCAGTGATGAATTCATGTGTTTCTAGGAGGTGAGACATAATTGGAAGGATGAGTCACTGAGGGTATGATCTCCAAGGGTGTATGTAATCTTGTCCTCTTTACTTTTGTCTGCTTCCTGGCTGTCATGAGATAAGCAGTTTTCCTCTGCCATGTCCCATCACCATGTGGTTTCTGCCTTGAAGCCAGCAGACCCTAAACTGAATCCTCTGAAACCATGAACACAAATAAATCTGTCCTCCTTTAAATTGTGGGTATCAGATATTTTGTTCCATTGACCTGAATGCTGACTAATACACAGCTCCTGTGGGGTCCACTGGGTCTTTGGGGGAACATGTTTATAGCTGATTATAATGGCTTCTTTCCCTAAGAAAGCTATGGGAGAAGATATTAAGAGAGTGTATTCAAAAGGAAGGGATGGGTGAGACTTGGAGACTCTTCAGAAAGCATTCCCTGGGCTCAGAACTTCAGAGGAATGACAGGCCAGTACTTGGGCTGCTTTCTGTTACAGTGCTTGTCACAGCTCACCTGCACTGCATCCTCCATACCCTGGAGAATGGAGTGCTATTCCCATACAAGTGCTTCACCTCAGTCTGATGCAGCTTCAAAGGTCTCTTGTCAGGATCGCCACTGTCCGTGTTGTAGTACAAGTGATTTAGGACAGGTTGTGGCCAGCATTCACATAGCCATTCATACACTCTGTCTCCACTTGGTTGCTATCCCCGCCATTGCTCTTCACTGTGCCTCTCCATTTCTGTGGAATACTAGTGGAGCTCCACCAGTGACTACCTCCTTGTCTGTCTCAACCTCCACCTCTTCTCTTGTGGAGTACCTGATCTTACTGCTGTCACACGGAGGCTACCCAGCCCTTCTGCTATGTGAACGACTGCTGTGGCAGTCTCTTACTAGGCCATGTGATAGTCGTAGAAGGACTGAGGATATCCAGCTTTGTTATCCGAAGAGCTATGAAGTAGAACCGCAGTTGGGAAGTAACATTCTGAGACATGGCTTAACGATTTGGGCTCCTGTACCGAGTGTTGTCCTTAGATGCCAAACTCCCCTCATCTGTGAAATGGAGGCTATAGCTTGTACATGGCCACCTGTTATAATCCGTGACACAACAAGAAGGATGGCTATCGACAGCGGCCAGGGAGGAAACACGTTGGCCAGCGGTGGACAAGAAGGCGGAAGCTCAAGGCACGCCCGCTGCCGCGACACAGTGCGCAGGTGCTCGCCATCGCTGCGACTCACTGCGCATGTGCGCCTGGCAGGGTGGGCGTGCCGGCTCCCCAGGCTGCGGGTGTAGCTGGAGCGGTAGGCGGTCGCGGAGTTGACATCATCGACGTGCGCTGCCACGTCTTCTCATCTCCGTGGTAATGGAGGCTGAGGATGAATGCTGACTGGGCCAGGCTCTGCCTTTATCTTTAGCTGTGGCTCTGGCACTAAATTGGGGTCGGGGTCTGAGTTTGGCAGTCTGAAGCCTGCACACTTCTCAAGAGGAAACAGGCTGTGTGCAAGCAGCCGGTTTGGATCTCTTTATCGTGGGGAGGGAATTTCTTGCCTGGGGTCCTGTCTACAAAGCCTCCTCCTCCTAGGGATCCCGCCCCACCGGCCGGACCTCCTCCATGCGTGAGTATTAACTTGCTGTTGTGATGTCCAACTGTCCTGGGCTTTGGCCCTCTGGAGTGCGCGGCGGGGACAACTATGGAAACAACCTGTTGAAGTTTGCGGTCTCTTCTACCCTCATCACATACTATTTCCAGCCCCATCCCATTGTTTTGCTCCTCATTTTCTTTCTCTTTGCTTGTGAATTGGGCAAAGATAGCTCTGCATCCAGTAGTTTGAATGGTTTGTCCCACCTGGTGTTTGTTACTCTGTAGCCTAAGGTTATTAAGGAATGAGGAACATTGCGTCAGTCTGTAGTAACGTTTTGAAAATCCAGGATTTTCCATTGTGTGATTCTTCCGTTTTTAGTTGGACAATATTTCTTAGGAAAACATTTAGTCTTCATATTGGTGAAACCATGATTTTTGCCAAGTTTGATGAAAACATATCTTTGTTTCAGTGAAGATCTTTATTACTGGCCTTTTCATGTTGCAGTTTCAACAATTTCTACACGATTTTACATCAGTTTTTTTGGAGTATCTCTTTGAGTTCTTTCGGTATTCTCATCCTAACATGGAGAGACCACTTAAGACACTTTTTAACTTTTAAAAGAATTAAAAGGGCTATTTGTGCCCATTCATCCATCTTGGCTAGTCCTGCCAAAATCCTCTGTAGAACAGGAGACACCTTTTGTCAAAGTGAAGAAATATACTCAGCGGATAAATGACTCAAGTTCAGATAATATGTGATACATCTTATCTCTGAATCCAGATCCCTTGATAAGAAAACCTGACATTTTGGTCAGTGATGATCCTCCTGTGTTCCAACTGGCTTAACATGAAATATTATGTTGGGAATCTGTAAATTGTGGTGTTGCCTGTAAACTTTCACCAGAGTGAAGTATCTTGCATATGATACAAGTCAAAAGACTTGAATTGTGACTTGCCAGAGGTTGGATCAGAACTTATGCTTCTGGCCCATTAGAATCTGAGTAGTCCTTTCGTTAGAATAAATTAGATAATAGACACTTCAGAGCATTTGTTTGAAAATACAATTTTACAAGTTCTGCTCACTCAGTTTTTCTGTTTTTCTTAAACATATAACTTTACAAATAGTTAACTGGTATTTACATTTTTCTTTTTTTGTTGTTCAGAGTTGAAACAGCTTCACAACCATTAACCTGGGTTGCAGCTACAGGTGGCACTGGAACCAGACTGGTCCCCGGACATGCCCGGTGGAAGGAGGGGCCCTAGTCGGCAGCAGCTAAGCCGTTCAGCTTTACCTTCTTTACAGACTTTGGTTGGTGGGGGTTGTGGCAATGGAACAGGCTTGAGAAACAGGTAAAAAAAGAAATAAAGCTATGCATAATCTGTAATGTTCTTTGATCAGTAAAACTAACATAAAAGGCATCATATTAAGATACTATCTTATCAAGCTTTATTCTTTTTGTGTGTATGGTACTGGGGGCCTTATGCTAGGCAAGCACTCTACCACTGAGCTATTCCTCTGTGCTCAAGCTTTATTCTTGATACTGAGGTGGATATTCTGCCCTTGAAGACTGGATGCTGAAGCATTCTAGAATATTTTGGCAGTAGAAAGATATGATATGGAGCCTATAAAGTGAGAATGGAATTAATGTGAGAAAGTGAAAAATAATGGAAATAAAGTCTTTATAGATGGGGAGGGCAGGGAAATGGGAAAAAAATTAACCAAGATTGATTATGTAAAGGTATAAATTTCCAGCAATTAATGTCATTATATTGTATATTAAATGTACCAATAAAATTAGTGTTTTAAAAAAGTAAGCAGTCTAAGGTTGAGAATCTAAATTCTAGTCTTCTGGCTATCACCCTTTTGGCTGTTAGAAGGAGAGAAAGATGAGTGTCAGAGAACAGTTTGAGGCAAACGTGATCACTTATCTTACTGGCTTTTTTAGGAAGGCAGGGGCAAATGAAAACCAACACTTCCTAATTACAGCTGCTTGATAGACTGAGGCTGGAGGATTAAGAGTTCAAGGTGAGCTTGGGCAACTTAGTGAGACCCCCCCCATCTCAAACTCTGGGGGTAAATGACTCAAAAAAAGGATGGCTAACATGAAATTCTAAAATTATGAGTCAGATTTCATCAAGGGTTTTAAATATTGTTTTGTCAAAAATAGTCTCATATTAATAGACTCAGCAGTACCTTAAACATCTTCATGTTGTTTTTTGAGAGAAAAGAATTTGGTCTTTTTAATGGAAATTTTCAAAAATTAGGATGAGTGATTTCTTTTTTGATGGGGCAGGTGTGCTAGGGATTGACTCCAGTGCCTTGCATATGTAAGCCTGTAGCTCACTTAGAGCTATACCCCAGTCAGAGGGTGGATTCTTTTTTATCATATTAAGGCTAACTCATACCATCAGGCTTGAATGCATAGCAATGCAGAGATACTTTTACCTGATCAATTCTTTGGTCAAGATAATTTTTGCCAACTAATTTCTGCTTCCTCCCTAAATACAAGTGTGTTTTTCTTTTGTTTGATTGCTTGTCCGTTTGTTTGTTTAAACCCCTTTGGAACCAAGCACTGAACTCAAGGCCTCGTGTATGCTCTGCAGGCGTTCTTCTTCATTCCCGTTCTTTAAAAAATTTTGCTAAGTTCAGTGAGTGGGATGCAAACATTTTTTGTTGAGACAGGGTCTCAAATAGTTCAGGTTCAGGTTGGCCTTGAACTCACTGTGTAGTCCAGTTTGGGCTTGAACTTGTGATGATCTTCCCATTTCAGTCTCTCAAGTGTGGATGACAGGCATGTGCCACAAATGACTGCTTTGTTGCCGCTTTTTTTTTTCTTTTTGGTGGTACTGAGGAGAGAAGGGTGTTCTTCCACTGAACTCCAGCTCTTTTCATTTTTTTACCTTGAGGCAGAGTCTTAGTTGCCCCATCTGGCCTTGAACGTCCCATCTTCCTATCTCAGCCTCCCATGGTGTGGGCCACTGTGCCAACTTTTAACTGAGTTTAGCAATAGGTCTGTATTTTCTCTGTTTTCACTGTAGCTCTTTCTTTTTTTTTGCTTTGAAGGTTCTAACTATGCTTGAACCCCTATTCTCCACCCTCCTCTGTTAACATTTTTTAAGCAGTTAATTTCATTAGGGTGGAAAAATGTATTTTTCAGCAGATCAAAGTGAAAGTGATAATTGTTCTTGGTTTGAAAAGTTATTGAAACTATTATTGAGTGATAATTTTGTGACATGCTTACCTCAAGAGATTATTTTGGGAACAAACATTTCTTTATTTGTTTTGTCATGGGAAAGAAGCAGCTGGACTGTGTAACACCTGGGAAAGGTGTATAGAAATAGAGAAAAAATAGTAGATGGCTTAGACCAGTGATGGCAAACCTTTTAGAGCTTTCAGTGATAACTGACAGCTTGCTGTGGTATGCATGACATAAGTTTGCCATCACTAGCTTAGACTATAACTTTAGGAAGATAGATGCGTAAAAACAGTATCCAGATAAGGAGAAATTATTTTTGGAGTATCTCGTGTGTTGATGAGAGGAATAGAATTGCTTATGGTGGTATAAATATGCATGATATACTGGATGTGATTCTGCAAGGTATGGGTTGTTTGGAGAGAGCATTTACCCTTGTTTCATAGGTGTTTGTGCTTGTTGGTGAAGTTAAACTTGAAAAATGTCAAAAAGCTAGTTAGGTGATAACAATCAAGATTAAATTTTGGGGCTGCACCTGTCTTGCAAGCACAAGGTTCAGAGTTCAATCGTTATATCAAAAAAAAAAAAAGGTTTGAAATCCGTATTTCTTTTTCTGCTTTCTCCCTTTGGAGAAGAGGAATTTTTCTTGAAAATGTGTTTAGATGCTTGTCCTTTCCAAAAAAGAGGATGTACTTTGTATTTCTAGGTTTCTTAGAGGGCTCCTAGTTGAGGGAGTTTATTTGAGGAGGACTAAGAGTCTTTTCTTAGTCCTTGTGTAGCTTTCTTAATGACATTCCTGAACCTATCCAGATAACTACTGCTTTCTGTGTCTTCCAGTTCCTCTTTATGCTTTTGAATCTTTCTTTACCCATTTGTTTTCCTAAATTGTACTGCTTGCTGGCTCCATAGGACAAGTCTTAAGTCTGCTGAGTTACTTTTTTTTTTTGGAGATACAATCTTGCTATGTAATTCAGGTCGGCTTTGAATTCTCTAAAGTCCACTGGGCCGGCCTCAAACTTGGAATCTTCCTGCTTTAGCCTCCCAAGTGCGGGGATTACAGTCAGGTACACTGTGTTGGGCTTGTACACAAACTTTATATGCAAAGACATAAGGTGTTCAACATAAACCTCATTGTTTATACAGTTTATGCTTAGTGACCCATTCTTACTATTTAGGAAGTTTTATAGCAGAGGAGGGATGTGTTTTACACAATTCCCAGATGCTAGCCTTGTAAGCAGGCCTAATGACAGCTATATTGAATACCTGATTTCCCTTGGGGAGTCTAGAATAAAACCTTTGATTTTCTGACAAACTCTCCTGGTGGACAGTATGTGTCTTGTCGTAACTCATTGCTGTTGGAAATAATTGCAATACTGGGGATAGAATCCAAGAAATTTTCACTGAACTATATCCTCAGTCATTTTTAAATTTTTTATTTGAGATAGAGTCTTGCTAAGTCACCAAGTTGCCCACTCTGAGTTTGGACTTGAAAAAATCTTCCTGCTTCCCAGAATGCTGGGATTGCTGATGTTCAGTGAGTCAGCCCCAGAGAGGATATGTTTGAACATCTTAAAAGTCTTTTTTTTTTTTTTTTTGAGGTGGTGTTGGGGTTAGAACCCAGGACCTTACACATGCTAGAAAAGTGCTATACACTGAGCTATTCCCCCATCTCTAAAAGTCCTGACGGATCATTTTTTTATCCTGAAGGATAAATTTTAAAAGTCTGGAAGAATATCAGTGTGTGTGAGTAGTTAAAGAAGGAGATTATGGAGAATATTGGATGTAAAGGGAATAAAGGCACAAAAGAACAGTTTATATGTTCCCAGTAGTAAATAACATGGATATCAGGGTGTATGTACAGGAGTGCTGAGCTCAGGTTGCTGGGTTAAACAGAAAGCCTCATAGATCTGACAGTTTTCAATATTATCCCATTGGCAGTGCAGGGTCATTAAGGAATTTTAGGTAAAAGAGTAACATTGGAACTTCACCTTATTCTTTCTTTCTTTATTTTTGAGACAGGTTCTTGCTATATAATCCTGCCTGGCTGGGCTACAATTCACTACAGAGATAGGCTGCCCTTAAACTCGTGATTCTTTTGCCTCAGGCTCCCAAGTGCTGGGATTAGAGGCATGTCCAGCCATGCCCAGCAAGTTTCGCTTTAGAAAGACTCTTGGGAGCAGGTTGGAGGGTTGGGTGGAAGTAATGTTGAATTTATTGAGGATTACTACAATAATTTAGGGAAAATTGACGAATGCTTGAACCAAAACAGTGACTTGAGAGGGGGAAGGTACACTTTGAAGAAAGTTCTATAAAGTGAAATACAGTTTTTTAGAGAGTGATTGAATATGAAGAGTCAGAAGAAAAGCTCTAGCCTAGGTTTCTTTCTCTATTTCTTTCTTGCTTGCTTTCTTTTCGTACCACAGATCAAACTCAGGACCTTGTGCTTGTGAGGCAGGCACGGTGCCACTGAGCTAAATCCCCTGCCCATAGGCTTCTTTTTTTTGAGACAGGGTCTGGCTGTGTAGTTCAGGCTGGTCCTTGGACTCACAGTGTAGCCCAGGCTGGCCTTGAGCTCACAGTGATCCTCCTGCCTCAGCCACTTGAGTACTGGGATTATAGGCATGTGCCATCGTGCCCAGCCTAGACCTAGGTTTCTGATTTGGAAAGCTAATAGGTGGGCCATGAATTAGGGTTAGGACTATGGGAGGAATATAGATGTGTAGTAGGCAATAGTATAACATGGGTCTAAAACTCAACAGTGAGTCCCATGGAGAGAGATTTCAGTCTTTGGTATGCAGTAGCTTGTGGAAACCATAGGTCACCAAGAGAATGATTTAAAAGGGGAAAAGAAGGAAAGAGAATCCCAGAATGGAGCCTTGGGGAACAACAGTAGTTAAGGAGTAAGTGGGAAGCAGGAGCAGGCCCTTTGTGCTCAGTAACACTGAAGAGTGTCACTATTTGAGTCAACTGTAGTTTTCTCTTTTAGGAATGGTAGCGCTATTGGCCTTCCAGTCCCGCCTATCACCGCCTTAATCACCCCAGGTCCTGTTCGTCATTGCCAAATTCCTGACTTGCCTGTGGATGGGAGCCTGCTCTTTGAATTTCTGTTTTTCATCTACCTATTGGTTGCTCTGTTCATTCAGTATATCAACATCTATAAAACTGTATGGTGGTATCCCTACAATCACCCTGCATCTTGTACTTCACTGGTAAGTTGTTATATGACTTCACATTCTTCATGTCACATAGGCAAGAAATTAGCTGGAATAATCTTTGCATTGAAATTATTTTTCCCAATAATTTTTCTTCAAATAAAATGTTTTTCTATTAAACCTCAGATTACTTTCAGAAAGGAAACCTCATAAGATTATTAAAATATAAATATTCTGTTTGTAAATGGGGAGGGGAGAAGGGGTTGAAGGGAGGGCAGGGACAAGGGGAAAAATGAGAATCAAGACCTATTATGTAAAGGTACAGAATCCCAATGATGAATGTAATTGTATTGTATACCTAGATTGTACCAATAAACTCAATAAAAAGAAAAAAA